AGAGAAGACGCTTATGACCTAGGAAACAACTTGATTGTTTCTTTTATTTCCTATACGTCTCTCGTGTTTTTGAACCTTAAAAGTAATCTAGTTGAACGTTTAACTTTTGTTAACCTTTGTTCTACTTAAGTTCTATTTTACAGACCAGCGAAACTTGAACATGGCGAGGTTATGTGCCATCATCTTAACATGTGTAACTGAGGTGAGAGCGATTTAGTACAAAATTCACTTCAATATTTCTGTGTGTCCTAGGACCAGTACTCGAACGCCCTGATGCATGATGTCAGTATGTCCTTCAAGGTTCCGTTGTTCTTGTCGGTGCGTTTGTTGGCAATTTCCTTCAGACAGCTTCTTTTCTCTGAACAGCCTCTTTTCTTAGCCGATGAGACATCGTCCAAATCTAACCAGTCAAAGTTTGCAGGCACGCCCTTTGGCTTGCAGCGTCATTGACCTGTGTGTAGAGTTCATGTACACCCATTTGAGCAAAGCTTTTCCGTTCGATCTATATTTGTAAGGCCGTAGTTTACTCTGTTATCTTTATTGTTTGTTTTTTCTTGATGCCTGCATTTAGGCGTATCCTCGGTATCGTGCACCGTGTGCTGTGCTTTGACAAAAAGTGCCGCGTTCGCCTCGATTACGAATGGCAAAACTTATGGAACTGTATGTGAACATAAATAGTTTCGCGTTCGTGATTTTCATCATCGCTCCTCTTCCTTATCATCATTTTCTTCTCGCTGATTGATCAAACCCGCACTGCCGATGATCTTTCGGCATGAATAACAGTTTAGGGCCTGCTTGAATCTGCGGTTTCATTTTAAATGACGACGTTCTTAATTCGACTCTAATCCTGCTTCCAGGTATAAACTTCCTATGCACGCAAACAAAAATTTCTTTTGTAGTTAAAAATATTAATTCTCTCAGGTTTTTCAGTAGTGGCGTATTATGGCAGTACAGAAGTATACATTCTGACTGGTTGTATGAATAACTCCAGTGATTCCGGGTCAGATCCGCTAAAGACGCTATCGTTGTCTTGAACCAGGAATTGTCCCCTTGTTCCTTTGCCACAACCAGGTAAAAAACGAGTATTAAGTCTCTGACTTGTGAATAATAGGATCCATGGCATTCTGGTATGGAAATATTAGAATGGACAATGTGTACGCAATGCTTTCAAATGAGAACGCCAATTGTGGCTATATTTCGCCTTCATTCTCCCGATTGTTGATTACCCAGTGTAATAATCAGCAAGAGGTGTATTCCTGATTTCTGACTAACTAACCGATCAAGCGAAACTTTCTAGAATACTAAAAATGCATGCTTTTCATTGTTCCGCCCGTACTGTATGTAACACACGTTAAATTATTTTATTCTACTAAAATCTATCATTTCAAGTTTGTTATGTTTAGGCCTTTTCGTTTTGTTGAAGTTTGTAATGAAAAACGAAAAAGACATTCTGTTGCTTGGCAACGTGTTCGACCTCTGTCAAAAAGTACGGTTCGCAAGTTTTAATTTTGCTCTGTTTTGCAGAAAGAGCGAGGAGCTACTGAATTACTGGTTTAGATCGTCGTCATTCTGAACGTGTTCATAACTTTCGGTGACACTTTCCTTCCATACCCGTGGCTGTATGACAACTTGTATTACGAAATTCTTCGCAATAGCAGCAGTTTGGAAGAAGTTGACGCAGCGAGTAAGTAGATTCATTTCATCTTTATTGTCCATTGCTTAATTTTCCTCGGTTTCAGCATTGTTTTATATTCAATCAGCCGGCCCTTATAAAGAATCGGCTGAAAAGCTATTGGTTGCTTTCATCAACATCAGGTGCATCATTAACCACTTTCTGCCGAAAATACGCGAGTTGGGCGACGAATCCCATGCTCTAACTGAAAGTCAAGTAATTAACTGGCATTATTTTGTCTTTCAAGTACTGACGCCTGATTTACACTATGAAAACTACGAAGTCGCTTACTTTACAACAGTATGGAGATAGCGTGAGACGGACGGAAATCATTACGCTCGGTGGTACTGCAAAATTTGTTTCTAGTCGACTAGGAGGAACATTTGAGCAGGTCATGGCTTCGTGGTATTTAAGCATATGCAGTGCATAAGCTGCAACACGGCGTCATTCATTTATTTTTTTCCATTTTTCTACTTGGCGCTTATTACCGCTGTATTTTAATACGTATACATTTCTTGTGGTTGCGCTAGCTTATGCTTAGGAATGTCTTACTTGTCAGTGCCTCGATCGAGGGGCAACATGAATCTACGGACTAAACATCGAAAAAAGAATATTTGATCATTTATCTTTTATTTTTCATATTGTCTACGGATAACTGTTTAATGAAGATTTTATTATGACTGACAAAACTTTAAATGATGTAAAAAGGTTTCTTTTCTTCTCTTTCGCTCGATTCGTTACAGTTGTGATCATTGCTGGCTGAGCCAACTCCAGAAATGTCGCGTACCTTTGTTCCGAACTACGTCCATCACCATCGATAACCATTCTATCTTCTCCATTCGTAATCCGCAGACCATTGGTGTCGATATTTTTTCGGGTTCGGCTCTCACTGTGTTCATCCAACTCGATTTGGATGAATACATTTTATTCGCTTTTAGTTTCTGTAAGATTGTTGTTGCAGTGGGGATGCAATGGTGGTTCATGGTTAGGAAGATCTTCAGAAAGTTTTCTCATTCGATTCAGAGGCGCCTCTTGACTTGAGATTATATCGCCTAATAGGTTATGATTGGATTAGAACAACTAATTTTTCGCTAGCGGTAGATAATTTCTTACCAGCTGGTAGAGAGTTATTGTCTCACGAACATAGAACGCATGTGAAGTCTAGTACCATCTACGCCTGAAACTTTTTCTTTCCGCTCTGACCAAACATGCTACTTCTAGAGGAAAGTTCAGAAAAACTGGCTGACATTCAGCTAGATGAACTTCGTTTAATATACTACTCTGGCTAACTAGCGTGGCGTTTATACGAATGAACCAAATGGAATGCCTAATTTGCCACTGCCTAGATTCTGCTTTAGTTTCTTCTGACTTTCGATTGGATTTCGGCCTTAATCAGACTTTTGCTTCAGGTGCTCGAGGTCGTACGAAAAAACTATGAATCCTTGGCGCTGAAGCTTCAGGATAATTTGGATGTCTACCAGCGCTATGCTGAAAAACCCGCCGAGATGTCATTTTTTATTAATTTGGTAACTGTACAAACTTTTAGCTCCCTGATTTTGTTGAACAGTAATTTAGAGCAAAAGCGTCGTCAGAAGAGCACGCCTGGAGGTCGAAAGCTTTTGCTTAAATCAGGCACTGCTTTTAAAAGAACTGCAGACAATTACCTCCTAGTGGTGTTTGTCTGAAGCACTGTTTTGTATTTACCTTAACACTCTTGTGAACGTTGGTTGTTTTCTGTTGATTTTTTCTATACTCAGTTATGCGGTTGACAAACTTGTTTTTTCTACATGTTCCTTTAATTTATGAAGTAAGAAAATTTATGCTGAACGTCTTAATAATCCTTCTGGCATTAATCTCGGTCGGCTTTTCAACATTGCGTAGCATGAGCAGGTTTAAGATGAGCTCATTCCTGTGCTCGCTGGACCGTCCATTAACACTGAGATGATTGGTTTTTCGAGAAATACCTGTTTAGCCATGTTTTTGAGCCTATCAACAAAGATTCCTGACGATAGTGCGATCAAAACCGCTGCAAGATTTCGTCGTGCAGTTCTACTGTAACTTTTCTGACGGCAACATACCCTAAGACATTAGGTTGAGACTGCTTTCTCACAAACTCAGCGCGTTACACACAATACAGAGTCGTCGTCATTGGAGTCGGTTGCTGCTGACGCAGTGATCATACTTCCTATCTCTTGCGAATGATGTTGACGATAAAGCCGGCATCGAGTATTATCGTACTCTCCATCGCAATAGCTAGGTACAGACAAAAGGTTTCCAATTTTACGAATTCTCATGTAGGGCAATGTTTTCCCTGTATAAAGTACCGCTTTACTGAACTTCTATAATGAGGCGTTCGCGGACGTATACTAGGTGTTTCATAGTGCAAGATCAAGGAGAACCGTTTGGCTTAAGAATCGTGAAAGCTCTCGATGGTTAAAATAGTAACCACCTCCAATCTGTTGCGTTATCCATACAATCGAAAACGTGACGCGATATTGTCTAAAAGGCTAAATTTAAATGAGTTTCAGGAAACCTGAGCTCAGTCGCAGAGGCTGTATTTTTTTAACTTCAAAAATATACTCATTTTACCGTTTAAATAATCGGAGAAATCTCCAAAATAATGGTGTCAGTAGATAGAGAATAAAACGTTAATTGACTTGGCTTTAACTGCAATGGCTTAATTAATTTGCTAAATATTGTGTCGTTTATTTTGTTTGTGGAGATTTCAAAACGCCGGCAAAGTATTATTACACTTTGAGATCACAAATTTTCAGTTCAGATGATGACATTTTACAGGTGTTGAGTCAGATCAGCAGTCATCTAGTGCTTAGTCTATTTCTAAAATGCTTAACTAATAAGGGAAAGCATCAGTTCATAGCCAACAGAACACTCTCTTTAACAGCGGTTGTGAAAATGACATAATGCATAAGTAAATGTTTTAAGCATGTTTTTTAGCATAGACGAAATCAACGCTGCTAAGCTCATGAACGCTACCTCCAAAAGTTTTATATATAGTTATAATTATCATTAACAAATTAGGGGAGTTGCGTTCGATTAAATTTAATGCTCCTTTCTCAAAATTTCTTTTTTTGATATAAGCTTTTTTTACACCAACGATTAAGTTCGATTTGGACAGTTATGCTTTTCGGTGTGTGTTTCCTTGTAGTTCACGGCACATATTTCTACTTTAAAAGACAACGAGCTAACGTAGTTACCTTGAAACAGATGATCCAACGGGACCGGTTTTCGGCCTCTGAGCGCCTTAAGAACCCCTTTGAGAATGGCCATTGAGAGAAACGGGCCGTTCATTACTGAATTATGCGGAATGACTTTCAGCGTGCTTTGATACTTGACTTCGGGAATGGATTGAGTCCAGTCTCTCATGTTATACAAAAAAGTTATTTTTACATCGAGGCATTTGCAGATAATTTGGCGGTATTTAAACCTGCAAATCAGTTATACTATTTAGTATTACACAAGATTCGCTATGTTAGATGAATTCATCATGATGTGGCGTACGAACAGGTCGTGTTTGAGGCGAATTATTATGTACAGGGGTCCTTGCTATTTTTCTTTTTATTCAGGCAAATTTTTGGACGTTACGGAAACTTGAATTCATCATTAGGAACTTTAATTCATAAGCAGTTGTTGCTAAATAATGGCAAATCTGTTGCTGAAGAAAGCTATCGGTGAAACGGAGGTAGTAAGCGTATTTTATGACAGTCGTATGAATGCCCAGGTTGTCTGTAGGGTTCCGATATTTGCGAGATTTCTATAATCATACGGTAGAACCAAAATCTGAGCTGCCGGATGGATTGCAAGAAATGTTGAGAATGATAATGGAGCTCTGATGAATTAGCGTATTCCTTAGTCCCACGGATTTTAGAAATAAGTTACAGTTTCATGGAATTCGGAATTATGTCATTTAATGACAGCATGACTCGCTGCGTTATGATGGTGTCGTCAGCCATTGCGTTAACTTCGTCAGTGCCTAAATGGTCTTTCCCTGTTACACTGCCTCAGTTTATCAGTACAGTCATCAGATTCCCCGCTTTTTTTGCGTTTAACGTATGATTTGGGTTGTTTCGCTACCCGTAATCTGAAGGTATGATCCACAACGTTGCACGTTGTCTATGTGGTTTGGTCGACAGCACTCGGTACTTCGACATTTTTCCCAGTCAAGGTGTATTAATTGCTTATTTGAAGCTCCGTAATTCTTGTTAATCTCACGATGGCCATTTCTACTGACGTCGAAATAAATCTTTAGCTGTGCCCCTAGCAAAGAGTATGTCATTCTCCTGCTTGTTTTCTTTCATTTCTTTATTTTTCTTGTCTTTCTGCAGCTTATATTCTTTCTCCGTCTTTTCCGTTTATTTCACCATATTTATTGTCTTGTTTTTCCTTACTCTTTTCTTTCCCTTTTTTCTTTAGCCTTCTCGCTTGGTCTCTTCCATTCTTTTTCTTCTGCGCCTTCGCGTTCTTGTCTTTCTTACTTGATATTTTCGTCGACATCGTTTTGCTCCCGGTTCTAAAATCCGCTGTTGAGGCTGAAATAGGTATAACAGATCTGGGTATGTTACATTTAAGTACACACGAATTCGCCTTTTTTCAGCATATACAGATATGTTTGTAAATCGAATGTTAATCTTTGGTTAGTTTTAGTATTCATATAGAAAGTTTGCGAATTTTTCATTTTAGTTTAGCTACCTCTAACTGAAAAAGAATGCTGGAATTCTGTATGATGTTACAGCACTTGAAAGAACTAGTACGGAACTGTGTTAAAAAGGAAGTTCCGAATGTCGGTTTTCCTGAGACTTTCATGATATGATCATATTTCGGATATCCTTTTTTCCATGAAGTTAATGTTGGGACGGTGATCTACGGTTCCATGCCATCAGCCAGCACTGTCAGGAGTTAATTTTTTAATCGCAGAGTCAGAAGCAGCTGTATCACAAGCATGATGCTTAGACTGCTCCTTCCTTCCTTTTGAGTGGTCATGATTTATAGACTTCGATTAAGCAACCCCCAAAGCATAACATTTTCTTAGGGCTTAATGTATAGCGTTAAGCTGTGGTTGTGCTTCTTAATGCTCTAGATCAACCTATAGCGAGAGAAGGTATTGCGAAAGAGTACTCAGTGAACGGAAGATTTAAGATTGAGTAGTATTTCGTTGTTTGCTCTGCCTACCTGAATACAACTACATATCGAATTCCGATGTTTTGTCGTTGTGTCATATATGATGTTTTGGTAATCACTCCTGATCTCTGAGTAGAATAATTTTCTCTCATCCTAATTACAGTTTTTTAGGTTCTTTATCATGTCGGCAATATTTTCATTAATGTTATTAGTGAGATGTTATATATTTTTACTTGAAAATACGACGTACTCAAGTGGACTTGTTCTTTAGGTGATTTATAATAATGCTTATCTCAAAGCGAATGCTGCTTAAATGATCTGGTGATGAAAAATCTTCTTTCAGCAGACTGTATGCAAAACACGAGCAGATAGGATTGTGCATGTTTGTCAGTATGAGGTGTCCGCAGCGCTACATTGCCCCTTGGCTTTTGTAAAACCGGATCTTTAAAAGTCGGTTAGCGCCATCTCCGTACCGACATTTTTCTGCATGCATCTGTGATCAGCATAGACGTTTGCCACCAATGCTAATTTAAAAGTTGCAAAAAGTTTGTTTATCATTTCGTATCAGGTGGTCATCGAGATATATCAGTGGCCGGTTATCGTTTCTTCATGTCCGTCGTCGCCATGTTCACCAATAGGCAAATAAAATCTGGGGGTATAGACGATGCCTGTGCAGCAACGGTAGTTCTTCATCACTGATTGCGTAGATCGTGTATCTAGTCACCGCGACTGTGGCAGAAGTTGGTACCAGTTTGTTTAGTTTGTTTATTTGGCTTAGAATAGTCGGTGGTGACACTTATACTTCAGTCATTGGGGCTTGGCGATGGCAACACTGATCGATGGCAAGAAAGTGGCCGAAGGCATCCGGCGCCGTATCGCAGATGAGATC